TTATCTTATCTTATCTTATCTTATCTTATCTTATCTTATCTTATCTTATCTTATCTTATCTTATCATTTTGCACATGAGCACTAGTAACTGTAAAAAGCTGTCTCTCTTCCCTTGTCGCTCTAACCATAAGTTAATAAGGTTTAAAAAGGTTTAAGGTTTATAAAGTTTATACGGGTGTGATTTCATCCATCAGGTCATGAAACGGGTTCGAACTGAGCAGATCCAGTATGCTGTGGCTCAGTACATGAAAAGGAGGCAGTACGTGGACACTGAGGGTTCACTGAAAGGCGTCAAGCTGTCCCAGTCAGCTGAAGAGATGGCTGCCAGCTTGACAGGTGGGAGCATTGTTGTGTTTTTCCCTGATTCACCTCTAACCCCACAGTTAGGCAGTGAAATGAATGTATCCTTGCTCTCTCCTCTTTATAAGCAGTACAGGTGGAGTCTGGTTGTACCAACATCGTCTCCGCTGCACCCTGCCAGGCTGACCCTCAGCAATATGAGACACAGTACTCCAGGCTGCGCTCCTTTCTCTCAGGTACAATGTCCATATACCACAGTCATTGGCAAAAACAGCACCTTTTTCTATATTTTGTGTTTTATAAAATAGGAAATAATGCAAATGAAAAAGCTGTGAGTCATATATAAATGAACAAATCACTAAATCATATAAGCCCATACTGATCCAACTGACAAAGAGCTGCTCACACTGATGGTGATCTGTGAAATAACACATTTGAACATTTGGTTTCCTTCTGAAGTCAAATGGAAGTACTAAGACTGAACAAAGTGTGAACCTGAACCCACCTGAACGGTTGTAGTGGGACCTTAAGAGAGCAGTGCAGAGACAAACCTTATCAGAGTGATACATGGGTGTACAGAGTGATACATGGGTGTACAGAAGAGGGATACATGAGTGTACAGAAGAGGGATACATGGGTGTACAGAAGAGTGATATATGGGTGTACAGAGTGATACATATCTGTAAAGAGTGATACGTGTCTGTACGGAGTGGCACAGCATGGGTGTACGGAGTGGCACAGCATGGGTGTACGGAGTGGCACAGCATGGGTGTACGGAGTGGCACAGCATGGGTGTACGGAGT